GAACCTGACCTGAAGACCTGAACCTGATTTAAACATGTTCAAGTTACACAAAGGTTTTTTTTTGTTATAATTATTGTTGTTTTATACAAGTCCAAAGTAAAACAGTTTAAATTAATACACATTGCTGTATGTAAGCTTTTTTTCTAGTTTCTTGTTTCTAAATACAGTAGTCCCTCGCTACATCATGGTTCGTTTATCGCAGACTCGCTCTACTGCGGTTTTTCAAAATAAGATTGGACATGACACACAATTGGCTGATTGATGGATGAGCCGCACGATCGGCATGGAATTTTTATTTAAAATAAATTATTTAAAATTATTTAGCGCCTGCTGCACCTTTGTGCACCCCATACTGCAGGATAAACTTCCTGCTGCAGCTGATCCGCTGTTCTCCGGCAGAGCGGGAAGTGGGTGTGGCCAAGAGCGCTTGCAGGTGACTGAGTGCAGCCGTGGCTGAGAGGAGGAAGAGCTGAAATCATGACATTCTGTGCTCTTTTAGAGCGTTTAGAGTTTAGAAACGTTTAGAATATTGCAAGAGTGTGGGAACTACTTACTACTTGTACTACTTTGCGGTTTTTCACTTATCGCAGGGCTTCAGGGTACGGATCCCCCGTGATAAACGAGGGACTACTGTATCGTTACGTTAAACCATTTTTATTCTGTTTTCATCTCCTCACTTTTTGTGTTTGTTTGTTTAGTGAATAACTCAATAGTTTTATTTTTTACTTATTCCATCAATGCTCGTTGATTTTTTTTCTTTCATTTGAGTCCTCTTACAGTACTTATTTGACACAATGCACAGAAGAACAAACTTGTATGTAAGATTTTGCACAAACCCCTGATGTCTGTTGGCTCAGCTGTTGAGCACTGATGGATTTTGTGTAAAGCGATAACCAGTTAGCGTCCAGTCTGGATCAGGCTGTCGCTCTCAGATTAACCACTGATGAAACCAACACTACCAGTACGTACTGTTTGGCTTTCTTGACAACCCTCAGGAAGACGAGCGTTCACAGACTGCTTCTCTCTTTCTTTCTTTCTGGCACTTGTTTCTTTTCCGCCTCACAGTTCAGATACAGACACACCCGAACCCAACGTTTCCTTCATGTCGGACTGTAAAAGTTCTGAGAATAAGGGAGGGGGACAATTTGCACGCTCAAGTGTAAATTTACACTCTCACAAAAAAACAGCTTGTGGCCGTCTGTTTTGGTAATAATGCTCCATATGTGTTTTCACTCGTGATTATTTGCAGATAAATTAGAACTAAGTATAGTGTTTGTGTTCATACATTGTATACAGCTTGTGTCTGCATCTGTTTAGTTTTGTGGTTATACGTCCAGGCGGGTAAACTGCCTTTAGGCTGAAAAACACATCCTTTAACGAGCCATCAAGTTAGTAGCTTTTAAACAGCCGCAGTGTCAAATACTGAAGTGGCAGATTGTGATTTTATCACGTTTCATGGTTGCTTCAACTTTGAGTAGTTTTAGCTCAAAATTTAGGAAACATAACTATTTAAAATGTACTTGTTTTGAGCGCAGATTGCATCTTCTGTACTGACTTTAATCAGGATTTATGGCACCGCTTGCCATCCAGTACCTGTTTCTGTCTCTTGAGCCGTAGACGATGAGCTGTCTGATTAGAGCGCCTCTCTGGAGTCTACATAGACACATTTACTGAGCAGCTTGTTGTTTTCACCACATCTACGCATGGAAAGATACAGCCCCACGCAAAGACACAGCCAGATACTTTTAAAGGTGGGTCTCCGCTCACAGTGAGATACCAGGCTGCCGTCTACGGTCTCTCTCCGTTCTCATGGAGATAAGAAGCGCGTCTCATTGTTGGCAGACAACAGTCCCGTTATCTTCTTATCAGAGAGCCAGTTCAATCTAAAGGAGGTGGGGCCAAAGTGTCTGTGTGTTTAGTGTCTTTGATTAAGAGGGGGTTCTTTGTCATGCAACAGGTGCTGTTGTCAGTCAGTTTGCCTTCATAGAGGCTTGGGAGTTGGAGTGTTTTTGAACCAGTCCTTCAATCCTGTTAATCCTTCCTGCAGGCTGACAGGCCTTGAAGAAAAACTTAAAAATCAGTATGTCTCTCTTTTTGTAAATGTCCCACCCCCCCCCCCCCCCCCCACACACACACACACTTAAACACCAAAACAGTTTGGAAATGTGTTCTTTTTTAGTTACAAAACACGAAAACATAGACGTTGACCCAACACACCAGCATCATGCTCTAGAACACCAAACTGGCATTTTTACACGTATCTAAAATTACAAAGTACTTATTTTTAGCTCCATTTTTGCTTGATCATTTTCTCTCCCTTCTGCTTATTACATACCCGTGTCACATTCACAAAGCTAACAGTGCTAATTATACGCTGGTGCAAACATGTCCGTCAAGTTCAGCAGGTGTGAGCAATTTGTACTTATTTTATGTCCGACTGTAGCAGAACACGGTTGTCCTTTCTGTCCAATCGAATTATATATTTTCTTCACAAGTACATCACGCACAAAAGTGAGAGAAAGAAAAAGACAAATGCATTCTAACAGGTTTTGACAAAGAACAACAAAGGCACTCCTTAAACCTGCAATAACAACATTTCACTTTATCAGCAAAGTTCAGGATGACATTTCTAAATCAATAAGAGATATTTTGGATTTTTTATTTGATCATCTCTGAATCCACTTGTTTTTATTTACAAAATTTTAAAATGGAGGTGTGTTGCACCCCCATTCCCCTCTCCATCAGAGCTGCTGCAGACAGGGGAAGTTGCACTGTGATGGAGGAATAAGTTGTTTATTTTACTAATTGCATGCATAATGTAAACCTTGTAAATCTTATAAATGAGTCCTCGTGACTCAATGAGACTAACCTGTATAAATGGTAACTGTACTTATATAGCGCCTTTCTATCCAATCAAGATACTCAAAGCGCTTTACATACAACATGTGCCCTCATTTACCCATCTACACAGCACTCTACTAGATCTCTGCAAAGCTAATCTGAATCTGTAGAGACTAATCAGTGCTTTTAGAGCACATTCGTATACGATGAGATACACATGGGAGGCAGTGAGGGGTTCAGTGTCTTGCCCAGGGACACCTCAACATGTAACTGCTGGTGGAATCGAACCCCCAACTTTCCCTTTGGGGGATGACTGCTCTAACCACTCGGACACAGCTGCCCCAACCTGTATAAACAAAGGTCGAATGAATAATACCACATTTAAATGTGGTTGAACTGTACTGGTGCAGAAAGATGCTCTTTGTTGTCTATTTTCAAGAGCTTTGTGAACTAGACTCGTACAAAATCCAAATGTGTACCTGCAAAAGCTGTGCAATGCTTTGATGACTCTAAGCCTTAAATTCTTAATTGTGTCAAAATGGGTAAATTGTTTGCACTTTTACAATTTTAGGGCCTACATTTTCTGACTCATTTTACAAAAAGCCACGTATGTAGATGATGCAAGGCGCCAGGTGACTGTGACGCTCACTTGGGCCGCCTGTGCTGGAAGCACCCCCCCTCCCCACTCATTCATTCAACCTTTATTTAGACAGGTAATCCCATTGAGCCTCGAAGACTCATTTACAAGAGAGACCTGATTTCAACAAAGATGACAACAATGGACAACAGCAACAACAATAAACAATTATAAAAGTCATACTGCAGGTTTTTTTTTTTTTTTTTTTTACAAATAGGATGGCTAAAAGAAAAAAGGTAACAAAAAAAAAAAACAGCTAGAATCTAAGGCGAATGTAGAAAACTAAAAACAGGAACATGTTTGCGTTGGTCCCTTCCAGGAGCCCAACAGATTCTTAAAGCCACTTAGAGAGGTCAAGGTCGAGGGCTTCAAATCTTTTTTGTAAGATATTCCAGGAAACAGGAGCAGAGTAGGAGAAGGTCCTTTTGCCTAGTTCAGTCCTCATTGGAGGCAGGGGTTCACTCCACATGTGTATGTCTTATTATGTCATCTGTATGCTGTTCTTTGTGCTGAGATTTTTTTGCAACCTCACACTGTCCTGATAGTGACACAGTGTGAGATATGACACACATACATGATACACATACATGATATACAGTAATACACACATTCATTACATCTAGGCTTGATTACTGCAGTTCACTCCTGTTTGGTATCAGTCAGACCTCCATTGCACGACTACAACTGGTCCAGAATGCAGCAGCCCGATTTTTAACCAGTGCAGACAAAAGAGAGCACATTACACCAGTCTTGGCCTCACTGCACTGGCTACCGGTTCACCTTCGAATCCAGTTCAAAATAATCCTGTATGTCTACAAATCGCTGAACAGTTTCGCACCCCCATCTCTCTGATTTGTTACAACCGTATTTTCCACCACGTTCCTTGGGGTCAGCGGACCAGTTACTTCTCACAGTTCCAGGAACTCATCTTAAGCGCAGAGGTGACAGAGCCTTCTCTGTAGCAGGACCAAGACTTTGGAATGAGTTACCTCTGCTTGTCAGACAGGCCCCCTCCCTCTCGGTTTTCAAATCCTATTTTAAAACCCATTACTATTCTGTAGCTTTCAACACCAGATGATCTGTGTTTTGAACCTGTATGCGCCACACTGGTTAGTTGTTATATTTATTATTTGCAACGTTTTTATGTCTATATTCTGATTTACTTCATTTTGTATATTACTTTGTGTGTTGCTTGTTTTTCTGTCTGTACAGCACTTTGGTTGGCCTTGTCACTGTTTTAAGTGCTCTATAAATAAAATGGTATGGTATGGTATTACCTCCTCTTTCCTCGCATTTCTCTTTTCCTTGTCTAATGAAAAGGGCAGTACCTCTCATGAGGCTGCAGCCTCAGGCACCCGTCTACCCACGTCTTATGTTTTGGTTGTCTTTTTGTTTCTCTGGACGGCTGTACTGAAATGAAATTTTGTTGTGCTTCTGTGCAATGACATAGTAATTCTGATTCTGATTCTGGTGTAGATAGATATTTGTTAACTGTGTATCTATTTCTTTCTTTTTTTTTCAGAAAAAGACTCTAAAGAGGTGTCTAGTGTTCCTCCAGATGGTATTGTGCAAGAAGAAGCTGCAAGTAGAGGGGAGCCCATCAAGGAGACCAAAAAGGAGAAGAAGGAGTCATCCAAGGACAAGAAAGAGTCTAAAAGGGATTCAAGTAAAGAGGTTAAAGAACCCAAGGAGGAGGTAAAGAAGGAATCCAAGAAAGAATCTACCTCCAAAGAAAAGAAGGAGTCATCTAAGGAGAAGGAGAAGGACAAAGAGAAGGAAGAAAATGAGGCTGGGAAGGAGTCGGGGGACAAAAAAGTGTCCAGAAAGTCCTCTGTAAAAGTGAAAGAGAAGAAGAAGAAGCTAGAAGCTGCAGAGGGCTAAAGGAAGCGATGTGCTAAAAATACCCACATGCTAAAATATATGTGTATACATTTTTATATACCGTGTACTTGTAAACATAAACCATGTGATCTAACACCAGACATGTGCACATTCACATATTCAATTTAAATATATATTTAGATGTAAATAAACTAAGTCAGGGTCACATTTTGAGGCCAAGCCGTTTCCTGCTAGAAGCATATTTACATTACGCTGATACCTCACACTCGTACACGCTGTGCTTCTACTGAACCCACCATGTTCACCACTTTTACTGTTGGCTTGTCGACTGTGGTGAGCCCACAGAAAGTGAGGATGAAGACAAAATCCTCCCCCTCTTTCTCAGACATCTTGCTGACTCTGTCCTTCGTCCTTGTTGTCTTGTCTCAGCAGCAGTTCAGCCCACAGCTCTAATCCCCGTTCGGCCCCAAACCGCCCCCTCGCCCACGCACACTCCTGGACGTGACGTCAGACACGGCTTCTCGCCCCCTCACGTGGTTCCAGGTTTCACGCAGAGCCTCCCTTGTCTGTCCACCTAAAATAAACTACCCTACACGTCCAGCCCGCCCGCTGCATCCGGGTAAATCAAGGCCACATCCTACAGCCACCACCTTCACCACTAATGCAACCCCCTCTGAACCCCAACAGGGTTTTTTTCTGTTTTCTGGGACACTCAAGGACATGTGGTAGCTCATAGACGCATACTTATTTCTGCAGGCCAAAACTGTGTTTATCCAGTGCAGGACATTTTTGGAAGGAACATGGTGCACATCCTCCTCCGCTCACGAACATTATAAAGGAAGCAGACCCATAAATGTCATTTTTATCGAAAGGTGAACATTAGTTTGCTAGCAGAAGAGTGGACTCATAGAAGCCAATGCTATAATAATAGTTTTTACACTTAGCTGTAGTAAATTATTTAAAATAGTTTTTTTTTTGTTTATTTTTTATTACGTAGAGATGCAGGACATGCATTGTTGGTTTTGGAAAGTTACAGAACCAGACACGGCCATAATCCTAAAACTGTAGAAGTTTCCAAAGCACTTCTGATGGGTCCTTGACCTTCTACAAACTCAGCATGCAAAGGTGCAGGGCTGTTTTTGATGTTTTCTAATACATGTTTTAGAGCAGCAGCAGATATATTCATTCAACTTTTATTTATACAAGTTAGTCTCACTGAGTCACGAGGACTCATTTACAAGAAAAACCTGTTTTAAACTATAAATGAGGTGCACACAACAATAAGCATTCATATGAAAGCATATACAATGAAAAGTATATAAGTGATATAAAACAAATAAATAAATAAATAAAAGCATGCTACATTATAAAACAATGTAAAGATACTAAAACCAGGAACATGTCTGAGCTGATTTTGGCCATGAACTTAGCAGTTGTTTAAACCCCTTGGGTCGAGAGCTTCAGATCTTTGTGCAAGATATTCCAGGAAACAAGAGCAGAGTAGGAGAAGGCCCTTTTGCCCAGTTCAGTCTGTACTGAGGGGACACTGCAGGTAATGATGTCTTGGGAGTGCACGCTGTAGCTGCACTCATGCAGAGACATGTAAGAGGAGATATATGAAGGCAGCAGACCAAGAAGTGATTTAATGATGAAAATGTACCAGTGAGAGAAGTTAATGATGACCAGTTAACCAGTGAATAGTTACAGCCAGTTATGAATCTTAGTGCACCGTGATAGACAGCATCCAACATCTGCAGGGTTCTTGTAGGAGCGTTCATGTAAATAATGTCACAGTAGTCAATGGGGGGAAGGAAAGTCACAGTTACAAGATGTTTCCTAGCGTTCAGAGTTAAACAGGATCCGTTTCTGAAAAAGAAACCCAGTTTAACTTTCAGTTTCTTTACCAAGTTTTTGACATGAAGCTTAAAAGAGAGATGCGAATTGACCAAGATCCCCAAGTATTTGTAGGAATCGACAAACTCAATTGGAACACGATTTGTAGATAGAATAGAAGGAAGGACTGCTGAAAATGACTTCCTGTTTGAAAACATCCCTTTGTTTTTATCAGCACTTAGCACCAGTTTGAGATGGTACAAATTTGACGGGATGATTTTTATTGCATATGCAAATGTACCTGACAGGCAGTTAGATTTCATCTTTAGATGCTTATGAACTCTTAACATACACTTTCTTTCATACTCAAAGTAGAGTTTATTTATTTTGAGCTGCATTTCTGTCAGAATTAAAAACTACAGCATAAACTTCAGCCACTGTTGCTTTGCCTGCAGACCTGCAGAACACTACAGCCCAAGCATCATGTCTGTACATACAGTTGCAGCTCTTCTGTCCATCGGAAACTTGTTTTTAGCTTATATTGTGAAACAGATGCCTGTTAGCAATTCATGACCTCTAATATTATGTGAACAACCTGAACTGTAGTTTAAAAAATGGTCTGTTGTCTTTTTAGGTTTTTAAGAAATGTAGATTTTTTCTCTTTTTCATCAGCGATAAAGACACCTTAGTTGAAGCAGCTCATTTTTGCCAAGATTGTTAGAAATGTTTGTGATATTTCAGAGATTCCTGCAGGACATAATGTTTCCTACCAGTTTGAATGTCTGTAATATAAAGTTTTATAGTTGTAGTAGCAGCTCAGATTTGCCAGGATCCTCTTCTGAGTCTGCTTTAGCCAGTTTTCACTCCAAAAGGACAGATTTTTGTCTCTAGAGAAAAAAAAAACCTTTTGATAAATGTCCATCCTGTAGAAAACCCTCAAGTCTGAGGATGAACTAAAACCTATTTATGAAATATTTAGTAATAAAAGTTACATGTTGTAAGTAATCAAAATCCCCCGTTTGTGATGTGTTGATTTTTATTAAGGTTTTGTAACACTTTATTCCAAAGAGGTTTGCTCTCTACATTGTACCTGTCTTGTTATTCTTTAGAGACATTTTCAATTATTCAGAACACAAATGTTGTTTACCTGCTAATAATGTTTACCAGTTGTAATTGGATCCAGACTGAAGTAATCTAACAACCGTATAAATTAGCTGAACAGTCATTTCCCCTCAGATTTCGGCACTGGATGGACCTCCCTCTCCACTGATGCTGAAGCTGTAAGTCATTTAAATTTTGATAATGTTTCACACACTTTCTGCTTTACCTTACATTGTTAGGAAAATGTATGTGGACTGATGTTTACACATGACAAACATCACAAACTGATAGATAACAGTTTGAAGTTGTGACATTACATGTAATTTTAAGAATGTGTTTATATCTGGTTGTGGACACGTAATTATTATAAATTGTTACCTTTGCCTTTGTCTTCCAGTGGAAACACGTAGATTTTAATCGCTCAACATGAAGTTTGTCTCTATGTTGGCTGATGTTGGTCAGTGTGTGTACGTTTTTTTAGACATTTCTACAAGAACTGATGCCGTGGCACATTTTTACTTCTTGCGTCTTGTGTTTCTGTAATCTGCAAACGTAGATATCGGTTTAATCAGATTTGGTGGTTTACCTTCACAAACCCTGCATTACTATTGGCAAAGGATTGTTTACGCTCTTTGCTCATCTAGTTTTTCTGCAACTGTAACATCTAATGCTTCCAAATACAGATTAGTCGTAGAAAACTTAAATTTAGGATAAACGTGGGTTTCTTAAAAATGGTCACATACATATTTTTGAATAGCTTATAAATTGAATTATTTGACCTGCCTGGTGTTCATTGTGGTGGTCTTGTAATCCTGAGGCTTCAGGGTCGAGCCCAGTCTGAATGGGCACCCTGTGTAAATCCACTGTTCATGCACGTTCACTCGCTGTGGAGACTCCTGCAAAAGATCACAACCAACAAACATAAGTTGAATTTCTTACTTCCATGTTTGTATAAATTCACAATTGTCTCTTTCTCGTTCTAGCTTACCACTATTTTTATCTTTTATACACCACTAACAGCAGTGATGTCAGATCCTGAGGACAGGTCTCCAGTCCATCACAGGGACACACAGAGACAAATGAGACAAACACTCTCTCACTCACACCTAGAGACAATTTAGAGTTACCAATCAGCCTAACATGCATGTTTTTGGTCTGTGGGAGGAAACTGGAGTACCCGGAGAAAACCCACGCAGCACGGAGAGAACATGAAACAGAAAGGTCCCTGGTTGGGATTTGAACTAGTGACCTTCTCGCTGAGAGGCAACAGCTCTATCAGCTGAGCCACTGTGTCACCCCTGATTTAAAATAAGTAAATCACATCACTGAAGTAGCAGTAGTTATAGACAGCACGCTGTAGACACGTGATGTTTTTAATTCTACCGTGTTGAACCGACACATCTTCTCTAAGTTTTTCTCTTTGGAATTTCACCTTAAAGGAGTTTTTCACTTGAACAAACATTTTAATTTCCAGCCTTCAGTCATCTCCCGAAGGCAGTGTGATTCTTATGTGTTTCCTCGTAGAACCGCTGACAGAGATTAAAACCAACCCAACCCTCATCAAACTGATGAACAGAGCTCTGTCTGAAGACCTCTGAACGTTTTTCTGTTCTTTCTTTTAGGCTCTAGAAGCAGCAGAATGGCTAAAAGTGCTAAAACAAAGGTGTCACTGTTAATACAGCAGCAGCAGCTCCACTGCACATGGAGTTCCACTCTTACTTTTTGTTTCTCTTTCTCACTTGGCTAAACATTTTCATTTCAGTCTTTCAGCTCATATTATCTCGCTCTTCACACAGCTTTTCTTCAACTTTCTTTGCACTGGTAACTTTCTTCTGTCCATCCGTCATCTTTGTTTCTTGTTTTTCTCTTTTACTTCGTTTAGTTTCTGTATTTTTGTCCCTCGCTCTGTTTTGCTTCATGGTTTGTTTCTTTCGTTTTTGAACTTGCTTGGATTCATTTTCTTTATTCTTCCACAATCACTTAAATATCTCTTCTTTCTTCACCTCTGTTAACTTTCTTTTGTTTTCCTCTCTTCCCATCCCTCCATCCAGCATTCATCATAAATTTGCCAGTCGTGTTTTTTTATTTCATTTTCTGACATTACA